AGTCGTGCATGCCGTAGTCGTTAGACCATTGACCTCGCATCCCTACAAAGCCGGGACGGAGCACGCCGGGTTCTCACCGGACCAGGCTCTCACATCACCAAGCGCGAAGAACCGTGAGGTATTCGGCGAGTCACATGGAGGGTGCGCTGCATCCTGCTAAGGGTGTTCGGCATCTTGTGCTTACTTCCTTGCGTATGGATGACAGCTGCGTATGACTTAATTATTGTCTGGTGCTCTCATTTCCTGAGACAGTTATAAACGCTGTTGTGTAACTGCGTCGAGGGTGCTTGACCAATTTAACACAACGTGGTGTCATCCCCTTTGCGTCATTCGGGTGGCAGCACACGGGTCGTGAAATCTCATAGGTATATTTTACTCTCGACCCCGCGCAACATAATCTACCCGACTACCATTTCATTATGGGTACCGTAAAAAAAAAACAGGTAAAAAAAAAAAGCGGTAGCCTGGTTGCCGAGCTCACCAAGTAAATTATTTGTTTTATAACCGCGTTGCCAAGCGTCGACAACCCAACCCCGATGGCAAACAGCGGGGGGCGGGACCGTACATCACCTCGGCAAGACGCAATAACCGCTCCCAGCCGGACCTCTACAAACAAGACTAACGGGGAAAGCTTCATGTCTTGGCTCCGCTTTTTTTCTCTTCTTGTCTACGCAGGATGAATATCAACGTCTCCGACACGAGAGAGGGCCATGCTCGCCAGCTTATCTTCGACGCACACGGCTCTGCAGCGGCAAAGGATGTTGGTGTCTTGTGCCAACAAACCGTCGAGCGATGTGGTAAACGCTATCGTATCATCATCCACCTGTCAACCAAGCTTTTCCAAGCCCAAAGGCACCACCACTGAAGCTTGCAGACACACACGTGTCAAGCCTCGACCCGTGCAAAGAAATGACTTCAAGGTACCAAAGACTTCAAGGTAACATTGTGCGCGAAAGCCACAGCAGGGCATACACCAACGCTCACCGGTTCCATCGACTCGTCGCAAAAACGTTGCGCTGCAGACTTGAGAGTTTTCATGTCCGGGCGCATCCGTCCTTCCTGCTCGAAAAGCCAGAGTTGTCCCAATAGAGCGAAGGACCCTGTGTGACAATACAGCAACGAGTGGAGCGGAGAGATACGGCCAAAGCCGGTGTGTACGTGCTGCAGTGCCTTGGTCACTGATGGAAGTTCGCCGTGAAGGCTACGCATGGGGCCTACTGGACACAGACAGCAGTGTAGGCTCCAAAGCACTCTCTAGCTTTCTACTGTAGCAGCCTTCATGCGCGCGGCACGTCTGAGTCAGACGCCTCCACTGGGCACCAAACCANGGGGGGGGGGGGGGGGGGGGGGGGGGGGCAACTAAGCCAAGCTTTGCGTCATCGTCCGGATGGCTCACCACCCCTATGCTTGTACTTTGACTTTGTTGTTGTAGCCTGTTCCTTCTTCTTCTTGTGCGCCTGTGGCAGATGGAATTGGTTCCTTCCAGCTGCAGAACCCGCTGCTGGTGCGGCGCGGGGAAGACTGCCGCGCCCCCCGCCGGCGGCAGCTCCGCGCGACCCTGATTAACCGTACCGTAACGTCGCGTTGACGGACAGCAAGAAGTACATGATGGCGGAAAATATGTCATCGAAACATCGCTGCTCGCGTCTCCCTAAAGGGGTCCACCCGCCCCGGAAGGAACACTTGAGCTGCGAGGTCGGGTGTGCGCAATACCGCAATACATGTTCGTGTACCGCATGCTATCGAAGAGCGAGGGGCGAGGTAGGCAAAGCCGCGACCCTATGGTGTAAGCGACTGCTGTACGGCGCGAACGGCAGCGGGCCGTGCATGGTAAGGACCCACAAGACTGCCGTTCGGACCGCCCCTGCCGCCTTCGACAGCACGGCCCCAGCAATAGATCTGATCGTGCCAATGCGCAACTAGCTGCTCTGTGGTGTCTTCTACCAATTGAGCATCGAATATCAACACCTTGAAAACGCAACGAACCCGCCTTGCCGCCTGTATCGTCTTGATTTAAGACAAGGTGGAGGTAAACCTGTTTTAACTTCAAAACGCTGCACCTAAATTGAGGCCCCGCAAAAAATAAGTTTGGGGGGGTGCCGGGGGCCAAAGACGCTGATTGGTCAACAGGAAAAAACAAGATCAGGCTTTCTCTGCCCGGAAAAGCGGGACCTCAATATTCGGTGCAGCAAAAAATAATTGCAAAATGAATTGTTTTTTGCTGAATCAAAGTACAGTACTGGGCCCGGTTTAGTGCCGGTTTAATAGTGCCAACTGCCAGTTTAGTGTCGGTAAAATCTCTGGACACAGACAGCGCCCGGTTCAGTGCCGGTTTGGCACTATACCGGGCGGGCCCGATATAGTGCCGGTTTGATACCATGGTAGCCCACAATAGCGCGGGTTACTTGCCCACTCACACACGCGACGACGAAACAGCCTTGCTTCGCCTAAAGGCTATTCATACCAATAGGATTCGGAGACGGTTTACCTTTGAGTTGACTCGTTTTGCTATCCGTGCGAACTCGTGATGTCTTTATAAACGTCACAGACTACTTCTCGATCACTTCCCACCACGGCCAATAGGTTGGGATATCGGTAGTAGTGCAGCTAGAAACGACCAGGATGGCAATGACGGGAACTCGTTTGGCAGCGATGAAGGAGGAGGAGAGGTAACGGGAGGAGGACAAGACAGAGACCAAAGCAGCAGTCGAGGAGGGAATAATGGCATGGAAGAGAGCAAGAGCTTCGAGTCAGATGACCTTCCCCACGACAAACGACGCAGGGCTAGAGGCGAAATGTCGAGAAGTTGCCCTGAAAACGACCATGAGAACGATAGAGTTGGAAGGAAAGAGGATGACGGTGACCGCGGCGCCCGGGAATCTGCCATAGATGGCAGGAAAGAAACTCCTGCCA